ACCCTGCCATACTAGTACTCACATGATGAAAGTTTTACACCCTGCCATACTAGTACTCACATGATGAAAGTTTTACACCCTGCCATACTAGTACTCACATGATGAAAGTTTTACACCCTGCCATACTAGTACTCACATGATGAAAGTTTTACACCCTGCCATACTAATATTCACATGAAAGTTTTACACCCTGCCATACAAAAAACTCACACAATGAAAAGGTTTACACCATGCCATACCAGTACTCACACAATGAAAAGGTTTACACCCTGCCATACCAGTACTCACACAATGAAAAGGTTTACACCCTGCTATACCAAAGCTTGTCTTAACATCCCTTCTCTGGCTATCAAATTACTGACTACAAGTTTATGCTCACTTTGCAATCAACATAAACAGTAAATATATCATCTTTTAATATACCTTTGTGATTTTATAAATTGATAACAAAAACATTTATTTAAAAGGAAGGTGTTTAATAATAACAATAAAGAAGTTACATTTTCTCTTAAGCATGACAGAGCAGGGATGTTAAAACAAAAGCCATCAATATACTGTATCACTCATAAATTTATGAAAAAAAAAATTGCCTAATATGAAATACTTTCAAACTACAAAAGAAGACATTTTATGAGTTACAGTTCAGGTGCTTCTGTCTAGTTGTGCTAAATTAAGTTGTCTGATGATAAGTCATTCTTGTCTTTGAAGACATGAAACCTGAAAAAAGTAATGTTAATGTTGGAAACAAATCACAATTTTTATGAAATGGATTCCCTGCACAAAACCCACTAAAAACCAGAACTAAAATATTTAGTTATTCATTTTTGATTTCAAGTAGAGTTCAAGACAAACCAGAGAAAATATGTACAGCAAATCTTCAAACACTTGATGGTATAATTCTAATACATTACTCATGAAATTAAAATAGCTTTGTGTGTCTTTGCATTACCACTGCTAGTTTAAACTTCATCAATTTAGGACTTAATATTAACAATGAAATAGATCAAAGAAAAGTACATGCAAATAAAATTGCATTTTGTACCCACTAGACCAATTACAAAGAAAAACACACATAAATACACATGAAAGTCCATTTGAAACTGCCTTAAAAATTAAAATAAAGCAAGCAACTATGATGCCCATAAAACATATTTAATCGCATTCACTTAGAATGTTTTTGTTATGTAAACATTTACTGGCTTTATAATGAAATAAATAAACATTTTATGAGGGACTTCTTTATATCACAAATTGTTTTGCATGTATGTAAAAAGACTTAAAGTAGTTTATGGGATAAGTTATAGCATGCCATCCAAAAAGAACAGGGTAATAAGCTAAAGTAAGTACAATTTAATGAATGCACAAGTCATGTATAATGGTGTC